GAAGGGAACTCAGGTTACCTTGCGATTTGATGTTTGGAAAATCTGAAGAAAAACGGAAAAAAATTCGAGACTATGCCGACGAAGTAAGGGCACGACTTCTGGAGATCCATGATTTAGCTCGGGAGCATATTCAGCTGGCCAGTGAGCGAATGGAGACCAGATACGACTTGAAAGCCAAGTCAGCCGGATTTCAAGAAGGTGATTTGGTGTGGTTGTATAATCCAACAAGAAAGAAAGGAGTGTCGCCGAAATTGTCTTGAGCATGGGAAAAACCCTACAGAATAATCAAGAGGATAAATGATTTGGTTTATCGAGCTCAGCGCAATACCAGGAGTAAGATGAAAGTTGTACATCTGGACAGATTGATGAAATATCATGGGCGTGAAGTTGATCGGGATGATCACACTACTCATATTCAATACTGAAGAGTTTTTGGTTAGTTAGCCAGTCTGCCAGCAGGTACTGAGGTCCCATACAGGATGTTACTCAGCTATAGTTGTTATTTTAAGCCAATTTACCCTATGAATAAAAAAGAGCATTTGCTTTTTCTCGCAAAATCTGAAGCAAATGCTTCATTCAGTATGAATAAAAGTTCAAGCAAAACCTTATATTCGGAAGCCAATGCTCAGGGAAAAAGCAAATACTCTTTTTCTCATGAATAAAAAGAGGATTTGCTTAAAATTGGGAGTATTTACTCCTTGCAAAATGCATCTGCTCTAGAGCAGATGTATGTTTACTATTTTGGTAAATTATTTTCGAATATTTTTAATTCCCGTTTTTTGTGTACATCGTACATTGCATTAGGAGTCGTTGCAGCTTGTTCCAACCGCTCTAGTATCCAAAATTTGTAGGCTCCTTCCAAAGGAGGCCAGCTTCCTGGGTGGTATAGTGCCCACCTCTTGGGGCGTTAGCAAAGTATTTTAGCCTTTTGCAGAAGTGACCAGGGCATTCACAGATTGAGTGTTCTGTAGTTTTTGTTGCTTGTTCGCAAGATCTGCAGTAATCGTTGTCTGATTTGCCTATTGTTCTTAGGTGATTTCACCAGGCAATGCCCCAGTGAGCAGTCGACCAACAATGCTTTATTTTTATTCATACCGCTGAATACCTCTTTCCATATTCAACAAGGCCAAAATGTACGCTCTAAAGACCAAAAATTAAAATCCCAGCACAAAAAACAGCACAACATTTTTAAGGTTTTAATTTACCTTTTTTTTATCTGCGCTGTTCACAGCATGAAACGATTTTTGTTTAAATACATGAACAATGCACATGGCGGTTGTGGCACATGCTATAAAAATGTCATAACCAAACAAAAAACATAAAAATGAAAAAATAAGTACTTGTATAAATTTAATTTTCAAAAACAAAATAACATTTATTCAACTGACCTGTAACCGCTCCTTATGACACACACACTAATCACAAATTGAATTGAACAATCACTTTAATACAAAATAAAAATTGAATAATGAACAATGAAGAACAAGCTCAAGCTGGTTCCCTCTGGTCTAATCTCTCATTCTCTTCTACCTACCCTTTCGGTACGCTTTTCGTTGCGGCGCGCCCCGTTCCCATAAACTTCACAGCGCATTACATGGTTGCAATATTTACTTTTATTCAGTAAACGTTTTTTAAAAAGTTAAGATTTGAAGAAATAATATTTTAAATAAGTGGTTTTCCTCAAGACGAAGGACCACACAAAAGGGAGTCGTCACAAGGCTATTGGCGTTTGATAATAATGAGCGATCCTCTTTGCTTATAATCCTTGGTTTGTGTCAATCGTTCGTCGGCTGTCATTGTCGTTGGTTATCTTTCTCCGTCTCTTACGTTATATCTTTCTTCTCCCTCGTCTAACGAAATTTGCCAAAACATGACGCGGCTTCACGCGAAATCACTCTCCATTCTCGTGCAGATGTCAGACCACCGCCTAAGAAGTTTCACTTCAAAAAAATCACAGCACACTGAACACACAAATGTCACAGATCACCTAATACAGATGCGTAAGTACGTATACTTGCCGTCGACGATATTCTGTGACGAAGCCGGGGGGGCAGCACTCCGACGCATAGATACGGATCGCCCGCGGCAGGACAATTAACGTGGCCGAGTGCGTGAGCATGTTCCAGCCTGTGTGTTTACATATTTTTGCGGGTAGAAAAGAATATTTTTTTGCTGTTTGTGAACCAATTAAAGAAATAATATTATATTATTGAGCTTCCGCATTTATATAATAAATATGTTCAAAATACATTGATGCGGCCAGCCTATGTCTATCAAATTAGTCTTGAACCACGAATTCGCCGCTCTTTCGCATCTGTATGTAGGTAATCTGTGCAAATTTATAAATAACGAAAATAATCACAGAATACAATGATATAGGTATTACCGTTATAAGGCCGATAAATAGTAAACAACGGCCGGGCTGAATTTTGTGATCCGAGGCAATAGCCGAAGAACATAATCAGCCAAACCAAGCCAATTTGCAGTTATCGACCGTGTTTCGTTCTAAATTTCTCGTCATACTGCAGATATCTTTGAATCTGACAAAAAAAAAAAACACTATCCTATAGAGGTATGTTTAAATAGTTATTTATGTACCAAGGCTTGTAAGTGTTACTTTTTTGAATCCGCAACTCCCAGCACAAGTTCCTCTATGATAGTCGAGGATTCCTTTAGTACTAAGGATTCTAATATTTTAAGTTCTTCAATACAGGAAAGTATCCCTGTGTTAAATGTGAGTAGTTGTAAAAATGTTTCTTTTACTTTCAAAATTACAAAGTAAATAACTATGAAGTATCTCATTCTCATATTCCTATCTGTTTATGCTAATTTCAACTTTTTGACGTCTAGGTATTTTCTATTTGTTTCAATAAAATTGTATCCTCAATTTGTTTTGGGTTTTTTATTTAAGAAGTCGAGAGTTTTTATGACATTATTTTGACAGAGATATGAACCAAGCAATTTTCACCTTTCATATCAATACTTTTTTGACCCGGACTGTAAGTGTCACTTATAGTTCATGGACGTAGGTCAAAAAAGTCAACTTACAGAATGGGTAGCACAAAAAATAAAATAATGACCGGCGGCCGTTATTTATATTTTAACAGGATGGAGGATAAATAACGGCCGGCGGCCGTTAAATAAACCTTTCCGATTTCAATTTCGCTCATGTTATAGTTATAATAAGAACAGTACAGTATGACGAAAATAGTATAATAAAAGGAAGACGTGCATCTGTAGTGACGTCACGATGTTATCGGCGCTTGTCAATAATAGGCAATCCTCTTTGCGCGTATAGTCCTTGGTTTGTGTCAATCAATAGCTGTCTTTCTCCGTCACTTCACGTTATAAATTTCTTCTCTCTCGCTCGAGTAACGAAATTTGCCCGTGACGCGTTTTTCAAATCACTCTCCATTGTCGTCCAAATATCAGAACGCCGCCTAAGAAGTTTCACTTCAGCATTGATAAGCAAAGTTCCAAAAATGTCTGAAGAGGATATAAAATACAAAATAAGATCAAAACAAATTTTCCCAGATTCCTTGAAGCAAAATTAAGCACTTTAAGTAATTCATAGCGCTCTCAAAGCCAAAATTTAAATAATTTGGAGATAAATGTCAAAAAGTGACAAATGAGGTGTCATTGTAGTCTTATTGTAGTTTTCTACTGAAGTAAGGAAAAAAATACTTGGCGTCCCATTTGAAATAAGAAAAGGTAGGGTCACTTCCGGTCAAACCGGAAGAGACAATAAATAATTGATTGCCGTTTGCACCGGCCATTTTAAGAAAGCCTTAGCGACAAGTATTCCTTGAAATGACATTTTCAAATCTCACACAAGAAGTATCCCTTAATACTTATCGCTAAGGTTTCCTTAAAATGGTCGGTGCAAACGGCCATGAATACGTCAAAAAATTCACATTTGAGTCGTAAACACACCAAAGGATAATGCACATCTAACATGGGATTTTTGGGAGATTTTGCCAATTTTTTGATATATGGCAGAGGATTCAATTTTTAACAACTTTTAAATGGGACCAAATCTTGTAGGTATTACAGTCTTTGAGATATGAGCTTTTTTGCGACTTTTTCTGTGGAGAGTATACGAAATACTGGTGTTTATCAGTCAATATATTGACAGGTTAACATATTTTACGTCACTAAATAATATCAACATAGATTAAGGCCGGGCCCGCACTGGCGCCAACATTCACCCCAGTGTGGTCCCGGCCTTAGCCTATGTGTTAGTGACGTAAAATATGTGAACCTGTCAATATTTTGACTAATAAACGCTAGCATAGACTAAACGCCAGTAGCACCAGTATTTCGTATACACTCCACACAAAAAGTCGCAAAAAAAATCATCTTTCAACGCTTATATCTAAAAGACCGTAATACCTACAAGATCTCGTCCCATTTAAAAGTTGTTGAGAATTAAATCCTCTACAACATTGAAAAATGGTCAAAATCCATAGAGCCCAAAAATCCCTTGTAGTACTCAATAAAAAAAGGTTGGTTCCGACTCGGGTCTGACAATGACGCTGACATCAGAAAACGAGTGTACGTCATACCTGAACGAATCACGACGTTTACGTTGTCAGTTGTGTGTCGCGTACTATCCTAACAAACCGTACCTTAAGGAGTGCTTATCGGCCTCGTTTTTGGTAATCGGCGCCATATTAGTTTTCAACTGTTTTCAACCATTGCCGACGTCACAACCAAGTCGTCAGCTGTTTAAGCAGCCTACGTCATGGCGAGAAACGCCATGCTACTTACGTCACAACTGCTTGTTTGGCTAGGCGGGGTAGGGGGAGATTTGTTACACACAGGCCTTATGAAGTTAGGCCATCCTGTAGTAGTAGTGTGTATCATCCTTGAGTACAACGAACATTTTTTGGCTACTGCGCATACTCAGTATAACGATAACCACAACGAAATGGCAAAATAAGAGGTGCAAAAAGTCTCTATTATACTATTATACAAAAATATAAAAACTCAATCCTTACCCAACTTATGGCCCTTCAAAGTTTTCTCGAATTTGCCATCGTAGGCGCCCCAGATTTTAATCAACTTATCAGCCGATGAACTTGCCAACCAATCTCCATTTGGGCTAAATTTTACCGACGAAACTGCTTTGGTGTGTCCAGCTAGCGTATATTTCAGTTTATAGTTTGGTTTCAAGCTGCTTGATGATTCGGTGGATCTATCGGCAGCCGGGGGCTCCTCGGGTCCGGAAGTCGAGTTCATGGACATCGTCTTCTATTAAAAGGAATGCCTCTATGCACTAGGGCCTTACAATATTGCAATTAAGAGGAAATTGAAAAAGATCACAACATTCATGGGAAATGGAGTCGCGGAATTGTATAGGTTATTTTCACTTCTCTCTTCTCTTGTTCCTAGAGGGCCCTCAGCTGATTCCATTATTTGCCAAAAGATAGCGCTGCTGAATGTCAAGATTTACAACATTAAAGCACGGTCCATACACAATGAAGTATCGTACGATTTGCATGCGCAAGTAAATTGATAAAATGTCTATTCTCACGTAAGTGGGCATTCCAGTCGTACCGTACAGTTTTTGTTTTGATTTTAGATATCGGTGTCCTTGATTTTGTCTTATATAGTGAAAAACTTAAACATATTTTCCACTTACATGTTTAATAATAACATCACTCGATAGTGTTTTCTCTCAGCTACACGTCTGTTACACTTTTTTAATTATCTTTTTATTATTTTCGACTCAAAACTTTAAAATTCCGAAGAGCTATATGTGGGAACAGTATTCGCAGGTACGCATACTATGCAATGGTCGGTCTTTTTGACCGGCACGCGTGTACTCCCGGGTTAAAACGATATATCACTCGACTCGACACCTCCTATTTAAAAAACGTTTCCAGAACTTCGCCAAGCTGTCATTTTGACAGCTGGAGGAGCCATTTGTTTTTCAATAAATGGAGAATTTGCTCACATTGCAGCCGCTTTCCAGCTAACGCTTTTGAGCACGCAATCGAGCTTTTGCGTGCGCAAATACTTCAAGCGCGTGTGCGTATTCCAGCCGTACTGCACTTCGAGAGCTGCTAAGTTTTGGGTGAAAACTGTGCTGCACCGTGCTTGAAGCACACAGCTGGAAAGTGGCTCTAATCATTCAAAATTTCGTTGAAATATACGCGAGTGATTCAAAAGCTAGAGGGGGGCGACGGAGTTTATGTCCTCACTGTATAACCTCTTAGACTGAATTCGACTTTACTTTACACCCTGTAAACTCTGAGCGCGCCCGAAACGATAAGATCCGGTTCGTTTTAGCCCTCAGACTGTTCTCTTTTGCGTTCCGGTAACAATCGAGCACGTACCATGAGCTCGCTCTCTTTTCCGATGGATGGATGGAGAACCGAGAAATTAGTTTTCAACTGTCACTTTTGAAAAATTCTAACCTAAAATATTGTAAAGAAAAGTTAATTTGGTTTGCGTTTCCGGTTTTTTTTCCACAGACTTCTCTTCGACTTTCATTTTTGGTTCATTACTAATTTACCTACTCGTTTACTAGTAAAATAAAAATTAAAACCAAAACAAAACAATTTTTTTTTCGACATTAGTGATAACTGGATAACTGTGACAAGGGTTTAAGGATTTTTTTTCAACCTGCGTTCGGCTTATGACCTTGTTCAGGGCGCACTCTGCGTATGATGTCACGATATCTATGATCATACTCGGCTCATACCGTTCCGCTCCGTGGAGTACAAAGCCAAACTCAGCCTTGTTCTTATTGTCCGTAGTTTTTAATCTCACACTTTCCGTATGAGGAGCGAGGGGGTGAAGCATACGCAAAAACAGGAGTGCGTTTAGAAATCGGAGCGTGAAGGTAGAGTAATTGTTTGTCAGAGTGTTCTCACGTCATCACTTGGAGTGCACTCTGGGTGCGCTACTTCTGAACGTATTGGGACGTTGCGGTAAATCAGGGCCGGCCCTACCATAAGGCGAACGGAGCGAGCGCTCCAGCAGGCGCCAGACCTCGGAGGGCGCCTTCGCCCCCGGAAAAATATATATAAAAATATAGCAGTTCTTCAGACGTTAGCATTTAATAATTGGCAAGTTACGTTTCCTAATATCTGGACAACTCTAGCAGAAGAAAAACCTTCAGATCCAGCCCTCATGCTGTCCATTGAAAATGTTATAGCTCAGACATTGTCATATGAGGAGATCATGAACAAATAAGCTGCAAAAGTATGCAAACAGCAATTTACCTAAAATTTCGTATTTTGTTTCTCCGATTTTTATATTAAGTAGGCCCGGTTCATTCATTTTCAGATAATCTTGCGGGTAACTAACGGCCAGTGACGCTTTAGCCTTTCTCTGGCTCGTAGGTCAATTATTTGGTATGGCCTTTCATGAGTGATTGATCTTTTTTATAGAGTTAAATAAAATCATTCAGACGATTTCAAACTACTAACCTGGCAGAATATGAAGGGTCTATGTTCATATTTCGAAAACAGACATTTCGAATCTTCAATAATTTCGAAAACAATAATTTCGATATTAAATAATTTCGAAAACATTTATTTCGAAACTTAATAATATCATCCTATATGACCTCTGTGCAGTGCTCTCCAGCAGACAATATTAAACTTACCGATAATAACCGGGTTAGTTTGGGTTAGTTTGCAATTTTAATCAGAAATTACCAAACTTACCGATAATAACCTGGTTAGTTTGGGTTATTCTGCAATTTAATGTCTGATTATAATTGCAAACTAGCCCAAAGTAACTAGGTTATTATTGGTAAGTTTGGTAATTTCTGATTAAAATGGCAAACTAACCCAAACAAAATTAATGTTTTCGAAATTATTGAATTTCGAAAGGAAAGTCATTCGAAATAAATGTTTTCGCAATAAAAGTTTTCGAAATAAATCTTCTCGAAATGATTGAATTTCGAAAAGAAAGTATGTAACTGAGATGTAATTCGAAATAAAAGTTTTCGAAATAAATGTTTACGAAATGATTGAATTTCGAAGAAAAAGTAATTCGAAATAAAAGTTTTCGAAATAAATGTTTTCGAAATGATTGATTTTCGAAATAAAAGCACTCGAAATAAAAGATTCGAAATGTCTGTTTTCGAAATATGAACATAGACCCAAATATGAAGACAAAAAATGTTGCCAAATAGTATTCGGTAAAATCAAAGAAAGGTACTACAAAATGATGGAACAAGAATGGCCACAAAACATGCTATATGGTCGGAACGTCCTAAAAAAAAATGATGGCATGGAGCTCCCATGCTCCCAGCCTACCAATCACCACATATGGATGCTGGGGACTAAGTGTACTGATGGGTGCTTCAGAAGAACAGCTGCATGGCTTTGGATCAAATCCATTAGTGAGGAAAAGATGCATAAAGGGTTGCAACTCTGAGGAAAATTCGTACCACGTTGCCTCTGCTCTGCATGTCCTATAAGCTCAACAACAACAAGGCACACTTCGTGGTACACTGGACCGTTAAGACACTACTCAAGTCCCTGGATGCTCCAGAAGAAGCTCAAAGAAACTTACAATTTGGCAAAGCAGCGCAAACACTAACAGGTTCCTGCTGTAGTCGTTGCCAGTTGCCACGTGCCCGTGCTGCCCTAATGACGCGACGGCGATTCAGCGCAGCTCGGTCACTCTAGGGCGTATTCCGGATTGATGCTCGATGGAGCGAGCGGAGCGATTCCAGAGCATCGTGACGTCAGGCAGTGCACTCTGGCCAAACCAAATGTGCTTGTGCAGTGCGAATTATAAGAATTAAAGAGTATTGAAATATATGCTAGTCCTACTATTAAACAAGTCGATGTTTTTAGTATAGTGGGCTTTTATATTTTATGTTATAAATTAATGGCCAGCAGTTGGCCTTCATTCTCTAGTGGCCCGTAGGACATGACCTAATTGTCCTAACGGATAAAGTGTCCCTGCTAACGGCAAGATAAATTCAGCATTCTATAACTCTATCGGTCGGCGCATAACTGGCCAACCAATGGGATTGGAGATTGCATTTTAGTCCTTTAGATTTCATGCCTGACAGTTTATCGGAAGGTGAATAAACCGGCCTTAAGTGATGTCACCAAAGTTGATTATTGATTGATCCTATATCAAAGCGTGTGAACTGAATTTTAGTAAATAAGAGAACTTTTTGATGTATCTAATTGTTAAAGTGGTGATTACTGATCTCTTTGAAAAGTGAATAATATAATAAATAAATATATGCTTTTCAGATATATTTGGCGAAATGTCATTCTTGGAAATTTGACAGGTTGACCCTCGTATAATAATGACAGTATATGTCAAATTCCAGACAGTTTGAAGTGTGTTTCACATAATTTCGTAAGTGTCGCGGTATTAAAATTCTCTGGTTTATCTGGCGAATCAAATTTGACACATTTTTCAATGGTGCAATATATAAACGGAACATAAGTATTTTGCATACCAGCAAAATCTATTGACAGCTTTTAAAATTCGGCATTGTCAAATTTATTTCATATTCAAGATGCACAAAATAATTTCACAAAAAATAAGAGAAATAATAAAATGTTACAGCTATATCGAAAAAAACAAACCAGGAGGTTTTTCAGGGAATACAAATTGAAGCTTAACTACCAGATATATTTGGGTTAGCTGTGGGTAGGTAGGTATAGTTTAAACGTAGATGTAAAGCCAGTTTTTACAACCAGCAATCAATATTTTTGTTGGACCAAACCCGAAAAAAAAGTTACTGTGGAAACCTATTTAGGCTATTAAGCTTACTGTTATGGTTACTGTTATGGTTGATTTAAAAAAATGCAACTAAAATTCATAAATTCCACGGACTTAGTACGGTGTCACCGACTACCAGCAAAAAACAGGCAATCTGATAAGCCGCCAGTAGTTTTGGTCGAGTTCGGAAATGTAAACAGTCGTTCCGCGGTGTTCAAGAATGTTCATAAGCTCAAATCTACCGGTATTACTATACGGGAAGATTTAACCCGAGAAAGATTTAATATTGTTCGAGCCGCTGTTTTGAAGTTTTCGCCGAGGGATGTGTGGACTTATAATGGAAAAATCTATGTTAAAAGTTCGGGAGTGAAAAACCTCGTACAAAGTTTAAGTGATCTTGAAAATCTTTCTGATCTGGATATATAATACACATAGCTCCTTAAAACAACTATTATTGGCGAAATAATATATTCTCGAATATAACAATATTCTCCAGAATATTCTATTTTAAATATTAAATAATAGAGGTATAAAATTTTCCATAGCAACAACACCCAATATGCCGCGCCACTTGATAGCAATTCTAATTCTTCGAACGCAATCTAGAATTCAATTCTGATTGGTCGAACACGACTCCGGAATTCTAGGCTTTTCCTTGAGTATAAAAGAGACCACGGAGTCGCATTGTTAATCAGTTACGCGCAAGAGTTTCTAATATTAATAAGAGCGTCGTGGCAAGCTCAGTTTTTGAAGTTTTGTTTTTGGCTGCGGTCAAAAAATCATTCACACAATTGTAAATTTGTCTGATGATGATAATGATGATGATATGAGCTTTATTGTCCGAAAAGTGTAAATACAATTTATCGACAAAGCCTAAAACTAAAAATAAAACAAACTAAACCTAGGCAGTAAAACTTATTAATTAAAAGCACAGGTGTTGAAACAGAAACGATATATAAATAATAAATTGTAGGAAATAATAAATTGTAGGAAAGACTGGAAGAATGAACACAAAAAAAAAAAAAAAAAATTAAAAACAGAACTGTTGATATGATAAGCAGAGTAGAAA